TTTCAGAGGGAATTCTGGATTSAAGAAATTGCAGGAGAAGAAATTCCTCGATGATATTTTTATTCTTAGTTCAAGATTCCTTAACCTGTTAATGTGATACACTATGAAATGGGCCTGCAAAGGAGAAACCATTTCTCTTTATTCTTCAGGAATTAATGATAGGTCTGTAACTACATGGTGATCAAATGGTGGTTTTACTACTACAGTGCAGCTGTAAGTTAACCTTGAAAAAAAATCAGTATATCATATATATTAATATAGCCCTGAGCCTTTCTGGCCTGCTGAAATGCTCTTTGAATATAAAATAAATTCAGTCAAGACAATAAAGACTTATATTTATTTTCTTAGTGTTGCTGATTCATCAGTTCTTGACACGTGAAGAGTAATAATATATGGCTTTGTACATTCACATGTATAAAAATGCCTCAACTACAGATTTATCTTTTTTCCTGATAAATGTTTATAGTTAAATTGGTAGGTGATCTTCTCAGGCATAGATAATAGATTTTTCTAATGAAAGAATATTGGAAACCCAAGACTTGTGGACAAAGAAGAAAGCTGTTTTTGGCTAAGAATGTTAGGAAATTGATTGTCTTGTCTTTATTTTAGCATTCCCTCTCTTACACATACTCTTCCCCAGTGTTAAGAAATTAGCTGGGTGTGGTGGTGCACACCTGTAATCCTGGCTGAATCAGGATGATTGCTGAGCTCAGGAGTTCAGAGCCAGCCTGGGCAACATAGCAAGACACAGCCTCTTTAAAAACAAAACAAAACAAAAAACAAACAAACAAAAACCTTGTTAGAAGAATTATGAGATGATATGAGTTAAAATGTCTTCTGTCCTACGTGTTTATGATTCCATCCCGTCCCGTCCCATCCCATCCCATCCCATCCCAAACAGCCACTAGCTCAGAGTTTGGGGACAAATGTATATGGTTATATTTTAAATATTAATTTCAGTCTGTATTTGAAGGTAGAGCAAAGTATACCTGATCCTTGTCTGTTTTGTAGAAACCAAACCATGTCTTTGTTGATAAACATAAATATCCCAATTGAAAAAAAAAATAATGGAGAAAAAAATAAAAAAAAAGAACAATGAGGAGAGACCATATGTTTTATTCTCACAAAACTATTTCTTGCAGTGTGTTAGAATTTAATCTGCTTTTTAAAAGTTTTTACATTTCTTTTGTTGCCACCTTTTATCATCTCTTGAAGAGAAAACATGCCATTTAAAACAAAAACATTTCATTATTTCTCACCTAGCTATTTTAGCTGATCATCCTTCTTAGACTTTAAAAATCAAAAGTTGAAGTAGCATTTGCATTTTGAAATGCTACTTGAGAGACAGCCTGTGTGATTGTTGATGGTTGTGGTTATCCTGACAACCATTAGGACATTAGGAGGCACTGTGAGGGAAAAAAATTGCTCTGGATACAGCAACTGAGTCCCTAATTTTTTCCATTAGCTTCAGCAATTGGAGTCAATTTGCTTAGATAACATTTTAGCAATAAAATCCTTGCAAATTATGCTGGATTCTGTGGAAAGTATAGATGGTCTCATTTAAGTATCTTTTGGTGTGTGTAGCACATTAAGAAGATCGGTATTAGAGTTTTTAAAAGCACATGTGTACCATATGTGATCTTATGTGAATTTTTTCCTTTTTTAAATTTATTTTAATTAGTTACACATGACAGTAGTGATTTTTTTATTTATTTTTTATTGTTGGTCGACAGTAGTGATTTAAAAAAAATTTTTTTTTAAAGAGAGAGAGAGAGGGAGAGGGAGAATTTTAATATTTATTTTTTAGTTCTCGGCGGACACAACATCTTTCTTTGTATGTGGTGCTGAGGATTGAACCCGGGCCGCACGTATGCCAGGTGAGCGCGCTACCACTTGAGCCACATCCCCAGCCCAGTAGTGAATTTTTAAGTATGCTTGTCTACCCATCCCTCAATAAACTCAATGGAAGCAGAAATATAATCTTACTGGGTTCAATTCCCTGGTAATTAAGGGCAAATCAGAAGAGTATAATCTCTGAAACATGAATATGGTCATTTTCCTGGCCTTATTGCACTTAATGTAGCAGTAGAATTTAGTGTGATTGAGCATGTCCTAATTGAGACAGTTATGTCATTTGGTTCTCTTATACTAGACTTTCTTGATTTTTCTCTTATCTCACTATCAAACTCCATTAAAGGACCCCTTCCCCTTTGCTTTATTTCAAGTGACTGGAATTCCTTAAGGGCTCCATCTCACCCTCTCTGCTTTTCTATAGATAACGTATTTTCCTAGGTGATTTCTTTTGGCCGCAAAGTCTAAATATTGTCTGTATACCGTTAACTCTCTTGCTTTGACCTCTCTTGACTTTTGGCTCTTACATTCAACTGTTTGTGACTTTTTTTTTTGATGCCTAATAGGCATTTCAAATTTAATATATCTAAAACATCACTCTCAATTTCCCCACCCATTTTCCTTGTTAAATGAAATTTCATSCTTCTCTTTGCTCTAACCGGAAACCTTGGGGTTCTCATTTTCTCTCACATTTCATCTAATGGGATAGGTACTACTGAGAAATTGAAACAAGCACAATGAAAACTGAGAAGGAAGTACTTAACTCTGCCTCAGGGTAAAAGAGGGGAAAGCTTTAGAGTARAAGACATAATATATAAGTTGAAATATGAAAGATGAGTGGTAATACCCTAATTTTTGTCACTGAGAAGTGATAAAATTTTTCTGGCTTCTATCTTTAAAATGTATTCTGAATTGAACAACTCCTTTCCATCTCTAACTCTACCATCATAGTCCAACACCATCRCTTCTTTTATGGATTAGTTTCCAGTCTGTCTTCCTATATCTCTCATCTCACTGTAGCCAGAGTAATCTTAAATAGATGTAAATATATATTGGCTTTTACCACTTTTCTTTTTTCTTAAATATTTATTTTTTAGTTTTAGGTGGACACAATATCTTTATTTTTATGTGGTGCAGAGAATCGAACCCAGTGTCTCACGAATGCTAGGTGAACGCGCTACTACTTGAGCCACATCCCCAGCCCCAACTACTTCTCTTTTAACAAACCTCCAATGTTGCTACAAGGACCTATGTGATTGGACCCTTGTGGTCTCTTTGTTATCATACCAACCTCAAGTTATATGTCTTCCTTAGTGATGCATTCTCTAACTGTTCTGTGGAAAGTAATTYCTTTGACCTTGACCCTCTGTTATCTCGTATCTTATAATCCTGTTTTATTTTCTTTACAACACTTAACATTCTTTAAAATTATTAACATTCTTTAAAATTCATTTACTTGATCTTTGTCTCTTTTACTAGAATGTAAGTTTTACAAAAGCAGGGACCATTTTTWAAATTTTTTTTTAACCCACCACTATTTCCCTAGCAACTAGAATGTCATGAACATAGATAGGTGTCTAGTAAGTACATGGGTATATTATGTCTCTCCCCTAGTTTCCTTGTGTAAAAAAAGTGCTACCTTCTCCCTTACTGAAACAAAACCAAACAAAACAAATAAAACTTTTTTATCCCTTCTGAATGATAGACTTTTAACTTCCTACTTATCTTTCATATTTCAACTTATATATGTCTTTTCTTCTGAAGCTTTCCCATAACTCTTTAATCTTTTTACTGAGGTAGAGTAAAGTACTTCCTTCTCAGTTTTCATTGTGCTTTCAACTTCTCAGTAGTACCTATCCCACTTAGACTTGAGTTTTTCTTGTTTGGATTGATTTCCTTTGTATCTGAAATAATGCAAAACATTGAAGTAATGCTGATAAATAAATGAATCAATGTCTTAACTCTAATGGTAGTTTTTTAGAAGACAACATTGTTGTATGAGATACAAGGATGAATCAGACTTTTACATTGTGGACATCTACAACTTATTCATTATTCAATAAGAATCTGCAGTGTTCCGATTTTATGTTTAAGATCTAAGGATGCAATGACAGAGATTCTTGCCTCAAGAAACCTGGTAGAATTTCTTTTGATTTTGATCAGTGATATTTCATGATATATATTAGTGCTTCCTAGGTATTTTTAGTCTGTAATTAACCTGTGAACTCTACAGGAGGCAATAGAACAAACAGCTTCTAATCTTTATGTTGTGTGCATGTTTATCATATAATCACAAAGTTTCAAATGGGCAAAGGAGGAATTATGAAGGCCAGAGCCATGTAGCACAGCCAGAATATTGTCAAAACTACACTCAAGGCAGGGAGTATAGATTATTTGGATATAATAGGCAATAGACTTTTATTTTAACCTTAGATTAAAGATAGTATGTCTTAATAATTAATAGACATTAAAATAGAATTGTGACACCTTTCTTAATTTATGTGGCTAAATATCATAATTGTTTATGTTTCTGATAGATTTCTAACATTTTGGAACTTAGAAATGGGATTTTTAAAACGTTGCTTAGAATTTTTTAATTTCTTAATTCTGTATAGCTGGGTCCTAAATGAAAGCAGAATTAGTTTGAAGGAATTTTGGTGTAAAGTTCTATATATTTCAGTATCTTCTGAATTTTGACAGAAATCTTATTTCTATTGTTCTATAAATTCATGAGTATAAGCAATAATTTCATACTTATTCTAGTATAGCTACTTCTACCTTAAGATTGAACCAGTCTTTGCATATTTGTTTTAGTAGCATATTTGGAATTTGACATAATTGATAATTGGTTCTTTTAGAGGAAATATGTATGTAGACAGAAGCATTTAACTTATGGAAATTTTGTATGTATGCAAAGTATTTAGAATTGAAGTTTAAAAACATTTTGGTAGAGAAGGAGTTAACAGGTTAGCTCCCCTTGGTTGTACTCAGCCTGCTCTCTTGCCTTTAGGAGCTGAAAAGATGATAACATTGGGCCCGGACATGCCTGTGTGGAGGTTAGGGTACTCCTGGGGTTTTTGCAGCTAGCTGTAAAGCAAGCTAGAACTTGTTCATCTCTGAGTTCCTTGTTTTTCTTTCAACCCTTTCAGTGCCCTGCAGGAGTCATTAAATCAAAACTTCATGCTGATCATCACCCACCGAGAAGTCCAGCGGGAGTACAACCTGAACTTCTCAGGAAGCAGTACCATTCAGGAGGTGAGTTATGTCTCACAGCTAAGGAATAAAGGTAGCTCATTATAGCTAATGTTGACCCTGTTAAAAGAGGGCTTATCTGCTCTGGTTGGAAACTCTCTTTATGTTTCATTATTGGGTTTTTAATTTTAATTAACTGGAACATCAGTGATTACTGTAGATATACTAAATGATTTGACCCAGAAAGATATGTTGTAAATGGGAGCTCTTGATAATTCTTAAACTCATCTACTTAAAACCCTGCTTAAGAATAATGCATTATCATATAAGGTATTTCATGCTTTCAATAGTGATTATTCAAAATGTTAATTTGGAAATTATTGATAGCATTCATTTTGGAAGATGCTTATATTTTATTTGAAAGGTTACTCTCAAATATGTTACCTATTCATATTTTTTACTCTTCTGTTTCTAAAAGAAATTTGAGGAAGCTTTTCTTAAGCAGCTCAATTCTATCCTTGGACAGGATTTGTAAGGTGCTGTTGGAGACTGTCATTTAGCTCGAATATCTGAGAAGAGTCTATTTAGTGTGTCAATATTTTCTTTACCATGTCTAAGGAGGGCCACAGTTTCAAAAAGGAACCTCCCCCAAGAGAGAAGAGGTACCTTCTTGGTATGCCTTTGGCCCCACCTACCTAAAAGCCAATAATTTGTCTCCGTAAGGGGAAAACATTTAAGGTTATGACTGAACTAGTGTATTCAGAAAGACTGAAATAGTAACTGTGTATTATTACCCCTCATAATTTATGAAGACAATAGTCTTTTGTCTGCTAATTTTTTGAAGAGAATTAATCATGCCTAATCTTGGATTATTTCATAATTTTTTTACTTAAGACTATATTGCTTAAAATATTACTTATGTTATCTTGGAAGAACCAGTTATTTTCAGAAGTATATAAATTGTTTCAGTAATGGCTAGACAATTACTGTTTCTTTCTTTCATGTTTTGTCAATGAATTTCCTCTTTTGAATTTTGAATAAAGATCTCATTTAAATTTATTTTCTCCATTGATCACTTAATTTGTTTACTGGTAATCAAAGTCTTTAAAATTTTTTTCTGACTCCTAAATTGAATCATGTGTTTGGTTTATTTTTTTTCAGGATTATCAAAACATCAATTTTCATTTCACTTTTAATCTCTATAAAGTGTTAATCTCTAATGGATATTCTATGCTCTAAATTTAAAAATTTAAAAATCATGTGTTAATGTATTAGAAATAATAATTTATTGTGGATCTACCTCAGAGTTTCAACAGAATCTTCATGACAGTAAAATAAAAATTATATATGTGAATTTTAATTAAACAAGGAAATGCAGTTTGAACACAAAGCAAAGATAATGAGAGATGAATTTGAGTCTGTTGTTGATTCACTTTCTGAATTGAATGGTAATATAATACATGATGGTTTAATATAAACTGCTTTCTTTTTATTTCTGGTTGAAGTTTATATATATATATATTTATCCCCCCCCCCCSGGGGGGGGCAGTTTCTGTTAACTCAGGTGTATGGGTGTATTTCAACTTTCTTCCACAAGAGGGCAGAAAGGACTATTAAGCTGATAGCCTAAAAATGCCATTCAGTGTTTTCAAATTAGCTTCTCTTATATTAACAAAAAGGAGCATAATGGCCAAGTTATTGTTTGATTTACAGATAATTGGCATATTGCAGGGAGGAGACTTAATTTCACCCTTTTAAATTAAACAGGGAGATTTAAAAAGACATAAAATATTCATTAATGTTCGGTGATTATAAAGTAGTGGCATATATTTATTTTGCCTTTATTACTGTTTCGATGGGAAAATACTGCAAATATTTCCGAAATCGAGTTGGCCATACTGACAAGTTGAAATGTTTAAGCAGCGTTAATGCAATCTGCTCACACCTGATATCCTATGCAGAATGATTCAAAATGACTACATCAATTATTAAAAGAAATATTTAAAATTCTGTAAATGTGCCATTGTGAGCCACAGTTGGCTGAAACTGTTCTCCATGTCATACTATTTAGATTATCAAATATATTTTAAGCTTCAAGGACTTGAAAACAGTAAATCTTTTTCCTAACATTTTCTAAATATCTTTTGAAAAATGTTCCAGGAATATTTTTTGCAGAAACAGATATTCTTATGTATTTCTTGGTAAGAGTTTGGTTTCTTCTTCTTTTTTCCTTTTTAAAAGTTATTTTTAAATTATATTTTGAAATGCTAGCTGCCAGGAAAAAATAAATGTAGTTATTTTTGTACTAATTGCTTTTCTGTGAGTAGACGGCCCACATTGGCTCTTATTTTGAACAATTTAGGAAAAGGATATGGATCACCTCTATAGGCATAGTCCTATCACTTTTCTCCTTCAACTTGTGGAATACCTGTGGTTGGGGTGGTTTCAAGAGCAAGAAAGGTGTTCTTATGTACAGCCTTGCCACCCACGGAGACACTTAAGTATGTGTATTATTTCTTGTTGTAGGACTACAGCTGCAATCAAAATCAGTTTGATTGCACTAAGATAAAAATATAATGTTGAAATAATTTTGGAGTTACATTTTATAAATACTAATACTTCTATTCTTAACATGGAATTTTAATGATGCCATGTGTTCTACGGTGTAAATTAATCACCAGTTTCAGTCTTTTTAGTACTTAGTCCAAGAATGAATTCTAACCAGTAATAAAAAATTGTGAGAAAGGAAGAAGTTTTAGAGAAACCAAACAATTCCTAATCATTTTTCCAGTGTAATATATTATTTTTGTGTTCTAGGTGAAAAACAGTTGTTAATTTTAGAAAGCCTTGAAGTTTTAAAGGAAAGCTTTTTGTWTTTTGACCCAGGGGAAATTTTTGTAAATGAAATACGATTGAAAAAGGAACTGATTTCAGCTGTTAATTGGACAAAATACATTCTAAAAAATATTGAATTAGAAAATAAAACCAAGATTCAGTTTGAATTTCAGATTAATTYTTCAGTGACCATATGGTCATGCAAGTTAGTGGTGATAAACCAATAGTTGTAGAAGTGTTTGTTCATTCTGACTCTGGTCTGCTGCCCCATGACACATGACTTTTGTCCTTTGATGCTCTAGATTTTAATTTAAGCTAGTTAGTTATTGAGGGTTTAATTTTGATTTTATTTTTGTTTTAACCTTTTTACAAATCCTTCCACTTATATTATCCTCCTATTTGAGAAGGCAGTAAGAGTATAAAAAGGCCAGAATGGGGAGAGTTTCAAGTAGTCATGAGAAGAAAAATCCTTTCTCTTTTCCATTATTACAAAACAGTTTATAAAAAATTATATGACAATTTTTTGTGACAATCTATTTTTTTTTTACCTTTTGAGTCCTAAATTGGTTACTTGTCACATTTTAAAATGCTGACCTTCCTTGAAAATTTAAACAAACTCACCTTGTTATAAAAAATATTCTACCCTGAAAATTCAGATTTCTAAACAGTTAGTTGTACAGATTTAGTAATCTGCTGATATTTTTAAAGATCTGTGATTTCCAGTGCACTTGGGATGGGTTAAAAAAGGGAGTGGAAGGAAGATCGATTTGCCTTTTGCAAATCAAATCCTAAACCCAGGTGTGCAAAAGGATATAAGTCCCTGAAATCAAGCCAACTTTTCTTGGAAACTGATTCTTTGTTGTTTGTCTTTATTATTGCAAAAGCTTCTGTTAGGCAAAATATCTACTTTTCTTTGTAGATGTCATGCAACTTAAGGAATATACACCTGATCCAGAATAACAAAGATAAGAAACCTAAGTATTTTTAGTGTGGAATCATGGGGTATCACTTATGTATTACAGTGAGAAGCACAATGAATAGCTATTGGAATTATTTAAATCCTTTCCCAAGTTTCACTTTACCCCAGAATTCTCACTGTTCTTACTAATGTTGATTTACTTCTTAATGGGAAGAAAATGGGGAAATGGACAACCTATAAAGCTATGTCTTGCAGGGTGTAACAGCACATTTCACTACTAGTACCATGTTGTACAAACTAGTGATTAAGTGGCAAGCCAACAGAGTTTTTGAATCAGTATCAAGACAGGAACTTACATACTTAAATCTCCAGTTCTTTAAAATAATTGTAAAAACACGAGGCTAATTTTAACAGTGAAAATTTGAGCCTCATGGCAGGTTTTGTGTGTTGTGCTTATTTTTCTGCTTGCTACTTTCTGAACTTGTTTGACTAATATATACTTTGGAATATTCTTCTTTAATTCTGGTGGCCAGTAACAGTTGGTGAATATGTAGTTTTTACAGATTGTACTAATGAGCAATTTTCTAGCAATGAATTGACTATAACTTCTTAACTAACATGCCTTTTTTAAAAAAATGTTTTAAGTATTGAGTGTTTTTGTTTTGTTTTTGGTTGGTTTGTTTGTTTTCCAGTATGGGGAAGGAGGGTTGCTGGCACAGAACTCAGGAAAGAGTAGGATAGCTGAGAATGTGCATATGCTAGAGGGTTAAATTAAGTTGTGTGCTTATTTAATTAAAAGTTTAAGTGGTTTGTTTTTGCTGCAAGATAAATGACATATTAGCTCAATTAGAATAATAATTTTAATTAGCATATATCAGAGTTTGATTTTTTAAAAATTTGAAATCACAAATGACATCTTGGCAAGAATGAAAGAGATATAAATTCTTAGGCACTGGCAATGAATTCAAGCCTCTATTCAGCTTTCAGAAAAGGAGATTATGAGTTTTTTCTAAATATGCATATACATTACTGGTTTCACGTTGCATTTTAAGACAAATTTGTTGAATCTCACTGCTTTAAATAAACAAATCAGTAATGATCATTTTATAAGTGTTGAGGTTTTCCTTAATTTTTTAATAAATCATCCCCTCAGAAAGAAATTTTAAGTAATACTTCCAAATGTAACTGTTCAGAAATTACCCCTCCCCAAATCCCCGGAAGTATTTTAGAATATTTTTCCCCCCTGTCCTGTGAGTATTTTTTGACCTGCATTTCAAGAAGATACAATGAAATTTTGTTAAGAATTAAA